ATTTGTGTATCTTGTTTTGCCTAAACTTTAAGCTCTGTTCTGGATCAATCGATTGATTGATTAATCGATTGATCCTGAACAGAGCTTAAAGTTTAGGCAAAACAAGATACACAAATTCAACGCTGAAGAAATTCAAGTCAGCTGATAGAACACATCCATAGATCAGAACAAATGCTTGCACTGTTTTGTGTGAGGATAGCAATAAGTGGAGAATTCAAGTATATTTTCCGATGCGTGTTTTGGTTTACCGGTGAATGGCCTCGAAGAGATTAAAACGTATATACATATAGAGGTTATTGTGACGAAAAAACACTTCTTGGGTACAAGTATATAAATGAACGGACAAAAGACTACCGGATACGCATGCCTGACGAGCGGCAAGAACCTGCAAAACCGTTCTTGTGCTTCCAGAGTCGTTCACATACTATTTATTATGAAATATATATGCCTCTGACGTAGTCAAGAGTGAGCTCGCTTTGTAGTTAATCTAAATTCTGTTCCCCGTGTGGAAACAGAGATCCAAAATAGATGACTTCAAATGAGTTTCACACCCCATGAGAGAAAGAGCAGAGATCATCACAAGACAGGTTGAACTCAACTGAGTATTGCGTTATCTCTTTCGCTGTGATCAAATATGTACTTGTCAGATATAATTTTGCTGACTTGCCGCACTCTGTAAACATTCACACGAAAAATCATCATGGTTTGCAACTTAAATGTCATAGTTTATTAAAAATAAGATGCGAATAAATGATATTGTATCCCTTGGTCTCTTAGTTAGTGCAATTCGCAATTATTTGATCAAAATGTGTATCCGAATTGCTCTTCTGTTCTCACTTTGTTCTCTCATTTGATCCCCCGATCTGTATCCGAATTCTAATCACATAAACTGTGCCTGATGCTCAACAAATGCTAAACACACGGTTTGCGCTGGAATGACCTCAACATGTGTGATATGCGTACCCGTCAACAGATAGTCCACGTACGTCACACCATCGAATGCGTCGGTTTTACATATCGAGACACAGTATTCGGCTAGGCCATCAGATCGCATGAAGTGCAGTAAGGATTAGATTGGTACTTATGCACTATCTCTGGTTATGTCTCTGTGTGTTGGTGGAGAAGTAAAAGAGAGTGTGATAGTAACCTGCTCTAAACAGGCATCCGTGGCATGAACCTTCAACTAACTCTTGATCGCAGCATCACAGTTCTTGTTCAGAGTGCTCCACAATGAGCAATTCAGGGACCTATCTATCTATCTTTTGTCTACCTATCTGTCTCGGTATCGATCCATGGATCTATTTGATATTTGTTGGTCAGCTTTCAATATTTATTAGTATTTTGAAATTAAGTATGTTATCATTCCTTCGATAGCCGACTTGTATCCCCTCCCACCTCTGTCTTCACTACTCACCTTCCCTCACTCTAAAACCATATGAACCATCACATATCAGGTATGCTCCGATCGGTATCGTGTTCATGGTGGTTGGGAAAATTATCGGTGTGGAAAATCTGGGCGACACGGCTCGTGGTCTCGGACTTTACATGCTCACGGTGATTTTAGGTCTCGTCATCCACTTGTTCATCACACTGGCTTTGATCTACTTCGCTGTGACTCGAAAGAATCCATTCAAATTCTTCAAAGGGATGCTGCAGGCATTTTTCACCGCTCTCGGAACCGGATCCAGTTCGGCCACATTGCCAATCACATTCTCGTGAGTTTGAACATAAACACAAAAAACTGGAGGGCTTATTGAACAGCAGGTGGATTTCTGTGCTCGTTTTGCTCATTTTCGATCGTTTTTCACACTCGTCATGAATCACAATTCAACTCATGCTCGTAAGTCAACCAAAGTGTGCCAACCCTATTTAGCTCATTGATAAGAATGGTAACTGATCCATCAGAAATTAGCCTACGGTTTCGAAGGAAAAGTGACCATTCGGTTCTGTTTTTGTAGAGGGGTGGAAATTACATTACTGAACCGTATTTACCCCAAAGTCCACAGTTTATAAAAGCATAGAATATTTTTTTCATCCCATTAGGAATTTATTTTTTAAAAGACTCCAATCAACACAGTCACCGCTTTGCAATAAAATCATTGCATCCGGATCCCCGGAACCAAATTTCTAATCGACTTTCAATGCATTCAAAGCCTCGAGCTCCCTTGTGTGAAGGCAATTACCGGTAATATTCAATGAAGCGTTCGTGCTAAGTGAAACGAGCTTCATTCAAACATGGGAAACAGAATTATAATGCGTGTAAGTTACGGTAGTTCAGAACAATTGTATCGGATTGACATTCAGTGATAGCTCAACGCGCAGAAAACGAACCCCCAAGTTCAGGCAAATAGAACACGAGTTCGGTAATCTACGTGTACTAGATACAGATAAACAGGCAATATGTAAAACATACCTCAAGTTATGAGCAATCCGGCTCAGGCTCAGGCAGGGTAAATCGCAATGGCACGGGATACCGAATCAGGCCACTCGCTAGGCAACGTCAGACCATAGAATAACGAACATTACGGGAAACAAAGCATTTAAAAAGAGGGTAAACCGACCAATCAGATTCACTCAGTTCCGGGAATGTCGTGTTGGTAATACGGATAGGGATTCGGAATTAAATATGGGTAAACAAGAGCGAACACAACTAAGTGATGTCGATAAAACGGCAAAACAAGCGAAGAAATCGGTACGGCACAATTAGCAATAAATTTGTTGCGGAATGAGTAATGTTCACTGATACAAGAAAAGGGGGCACGAGTCACATGAGCCGACATGGAACAGATTTGCTCGTATCAATACGTCACCAAATGCATCGTGCTGCAAAAACCAAATGTGTCCTCAAGGCGAAGGAACGGCGGGGGAATGAATATGACGGGAATAATACTCGAATACTGACAGTGGGGGCGGACATGGGTTATATCATATTATATTAAGCTGTATTCGAATAAAGTCACAAGTGCTGACAGTTACGGGTGAACAGATATCATTGTGTCCATTGAAGTTTCTCAAATGGGTGAGGTCAAGGGGCTTGCTACAGAGTGAATATACAATGGTGTAGAGATGATGATCAAAGGTGATCTAGATTTGAGGAACTACAATTTTCATTTGCGAAAACGTCATTTTTAATTGAGAAATTATCACTTTGACTTGAGAAAGAAACGATGTGATTGGATCCGCTTCCGTTCAGCGCACTTCATTGGTCAATTGATCACACATTTTTTCTACCCCCGGATTGACTACCTGTCTTTCCACGCTCTTTGTGTGCTGAAATGAGGCCGACCTCAGTCGTGCATCTTGTCGGGCTCTGTGACTGACGTCGAGTCGGTAGGTCGGTGAAGCCACGTTATTTGCGTGTGACAACCAAGCTGGACGCCACTTGTTATGCATGAAGGGTGACGCACTGTTTCGTGCGTACTACAGCTAAAGTACATTTGGTCGTAGTTGCTCTAACATTGACGATAGCTCAATAATCAAGCTGACCATAGTAACTACAACCAGGGACGAGTTTTGTGCTCACTGTGCAATCCGCACTTTACGAATATCATGGGTCTATCTGAAAATCAATATTTGTTCAGTGCCAGAGGTTGGAGTTCTTGAGGTGAACTTGGGTCAATGGGCCCACTGTTATCAATGCCTTAGCAACCAAAACCGCCTTATGTGTAGCTCGCCCGTTCCTGACTCAGATCACCGAACTGAACTAAACAGAACGCGGTCGATTTGTTGGGTAAAAAGGGTTACTCGTTTTCAGAAAAAGTATTGTTCCGTAAGAAACATCGACAAATGATATTAAGATACAGTGGACTTTTTTTTCACAAGGTTGCGGTTAGCCAGCAGACTGGGCTTAAAATTAATGACCACTCTGGGGACTTTAATATTAAACTGTGGTTATCTCTCTGCAAAAGTGGAAGATAGGTCGACGGAAATGAACATCAACATTTTTTGTATTGGATTTGTTCATAAGGTCAGTTACAGTCGGTCAGGTAGACTAACTGATGCATTGTGTAATGTCCGCATCACTTCAATACCAGAGGAAGAAAAGGGAAAGTCTCGGCCCAATACTCCATGGTCCGTACTATTCAAGACTTCTGCTGCTGAATTGGGTGCAAAACTATTTTACTGACTGATACCAGTTCATGTGTCTAATGACATTAGGTCTTCCACTGTAAAATCCTTTTCACACTCAACAATTCCGATGGTGTAATGGATGGTGATGCATACAACGCCATCATTTTCATCAACCCCTTTCAATTAGTAATAAGTTCTATTCCTACATGGTCTTCGATGGTATGGATTATCAAACTGCTCATTCTTCGCTAAATCCGTAGAGCTGAACCAAACAGAACATAATCCATCTCTTTGAAAATGAGATATTTTCAAAGTGAAACGCGGGTACTCACTGTCAGAAAAATTGTTTCATGTGAAAACTAATGAAAACTAGTGAAACATTATTGCTGCATAAAGAACATCTACAAATTACACAGCAGTACAGAGAACAATTTTTACAAGCCGGCAGTTAGCCAGCACATTGACCAATGTGAGGACACTAAGAATAACCTGCAGCCATCTTCCGGCAGATTTACAAAAAATGCCTATTATTATTAAGGCTCTTTATTTTTCTGTTGATTGCTGAGATTGTTAAACGTTTAACAACGTTATCATTGCTAATATACTACATGACATCATGATACAGTCTCTTCTCCTGTACGTTCAAATTTCAAGTGAAAAGTGCATCGGATCGACTGCCTTCTGTTTCGTTCAGTTCGGTGAGCTGAGCCAGGAATAGGCGAGGTACACTTAAGGTGTATCTGTCCTTGGTTGCAGAAATTTTACATGCCTAATCTTAACGGTGAGAACATGGGAGGCCACTGAGATTGGTTCCATTAGAGAACGTAGAAACTGCCCTTTTCATGGCAACCAAAGATTGATTTCGTGATTGTTGTGTTTGATTTTTTGACTTATTCACTTCTTCATAGAATTTATTCGATTGGGAGTAATTGAACTGACGATAGATATAACCATTACAAGGCCGGAGAGGGGGTGGGAGTAGGGGTCAAACGGAGGGAGGGCATTAGTCTAAAACTGAGTGAATGTTGAATTAACTGGCTTGTTGAATTTTCCGAAATTGGTTAATGTTTACAACAATCCTACTCCGTTCTGATTATGTCCAAAAGTCTGGTTTATACCTGAACCCTGAGTTTCATTCAAAACCAGTTGTTAATTGATAATTTACTAACTGATCAGATTATCATCTATTCACACATACACACACACACGCTCTTCTCACGCAGATGCTTGGAAGAAAAGTTGCAAATCGATCCTCGGGTCACACGATTTGTCTTACCTATCGGTGCCACCATCAACATGGACGGGACAGCACTGTACGAAGCGGTGGCCACCATTTTTATCGCCCAGATGAACGACTATAAACTGGGCATTGCGCAACTATTGACTATCAGGTGAGCGATCCAGCGGTAACGCACACTAAGTTGGAAAAAGCATGTGTGTTGCGTTCGATTTCTCGCATCCATTTCTATTGCGCATAATGAATAATAAATTTTACCCGTTTATCGCGGGATAGAATCGGGATTTGCGTCATCTGCGGACAGTACGCTACTCCGATGTTGATTCCTATTCTTCCTATTTCATCATAGCTTTTTTGCCCCCTCCATACTAAATATTTTGACGCATATTGTGATGTAAAACCTTGTAAACCTTGTAAGCAAAACAGCTTAGTCGATACTGTTTATTTGCGTAGTGATGGTATACTCGAACAACTGAGTTCAGCTATTCATAAGTAGAAAGAATCTAAATCGAGCCAAGCGATTCAATTGAGTCGGTCGAACAGAAGCTCTGTATCAAAGCAATCAACCAGGTCAGAAAATCTTATCGGTCATATCAGTCGGAAAGAGGTTCTGAGGGGCTTACTACAACATGTAACCTGATAGCAAGAAAGCGCGACAGTTATAGAGGGGATGGTGTATCCCATACCAGGGACATGATCTCCCGTTTCGCGTAAATCGACGACGTTTATTTCTCGGGTAATTAAGAAAGCAGCACAAAAAAGGTATTGAGGAAACAGGAGATTGACAGACGTAGACAGATTCCAGGTTGGAGTGGCAAGGCAAAACAAAACTACCTGTTAGCCTGCCCCCACTATAACTGTTGTCCACTGTCCCCACAACACTGCAGCATAATCCTGTGTGGAGTAGCACAATAAAAAACCGTCGGTTTTCTTAGCTTGGCCTTCCTTTGGAAATAAACCAATGTGCTCTTTACGTCGGTTGTACTTTTTCCTAATTCACCTTAGGGTGAATTCATCCCAGCCTTAGCCAAGAAAACCATTAAATTCTGCGCTTATCAAACCTATCACTAAGTGACGTTCATATTTTTTCTTCTTTGGGATATGTAGATTGGTTCGAGGAGATTTTATCTAGAAACTAAAACAGAGATTTATCGGATAAAAATAAAATAGTTTGGTGACTAAAGAGACAGCATATGAGTATGTGGATAGTATAGTTACACAAGGGAGGGTAGGTAACTGGAATATGTTTTATTCGTTCGTCAGGCAGAGTTGCATAGCTCAACCGTTTCTCTGCACAAATGAGAATCGGCGCATTTGGACATGAGCTCAGTCCGTTTCAGTTGAATCAGGCCACTTTTACCGACCTTTATGCTGAATTCATCTTTACTCTCAGATTTTCATCTCAAACGACGAATGTTTTGTCAGTTGAGTTACAAAGCCAAAACGAAATTTGGGATATTTTCACATTTAATCAAAAGTGGGAACATATCAGAAAATGCAACTCCCCATGGGTGCGACATAGCAAGAGATTAACTGTATAACATTCGATCTGTTATTTGTTTATTTTTCTCGTGCCTTTTTTTACGTCATCCAATCTAATTATAATCTTTGCTTGGGTCAGTCATTATGGAAAATGACTGAAGTTGGTGCTAAGTGAACCCCTCTCCCCCACGTAAAGCGTCCCTAGGAGCGTTGCCTTTTTTATGTGGGAGTGGGGTAAAACAACCATACGAAATGACAATAGTTCTGTGATGGTTGTGGTCGTCTTCATCGTAATCGGGGCCACCGCCACCGAATGATAATAAGGCAATTCCCTTGTTTCACTACATTCATCTTCCTGAAAATCGTGAGTGCATTGATGGGCACAGTGAATCAAGGAGGAAATGCAGAAAAGAACAAGGATAAATGATTACGGTAAATGTGGTTGGTAGAATGAAGAAAATGATAAACCACACCTTTGAAAAAGTCATGTTCGTGTCGGTGTTCAGCTTTTTTGTACTGAATTACATCAGTGTAAACGGAGCAAACTATACAACCGTCTTCACAGTTGCCAAACGTGACAGAAGTCTCCTATTTACTTCTCTTTTCGATGCTTTAATCCGATTACTTTTATTTTTGTTGGTGATGTTGGGTGATACTCTACATCATCTGGTGTCACACTCTGCCTTTTCATCCAGTCTCACTGCAACCCTCGCCGCGATCGGGGCAGCCAGCGTGCCCAGTGCTGGACTGGTTACAATGGTTCTGGTCCTTTCGTCCGTTGGACTTCCAGTGAATGATATCACTTTGATTTTGGCTGTCGATTGGATGCTGTAAGTTTAACCACATCAGTTTATCTCACTCTCTCGCAAACCCTTGTTGTTTAAACCTGTGTATACAATTATGTTTAGGCAAGAACGTCATGCATAATTCGACAGGAACCATGTAGAAGTTTTCTTTTCCAGAAGGGGAAAGACACCACCAATGTAATTTGGAAAAAGTTTAAACCTCTCTGTACTTCGGAAACGAGTAATCAGTACAGGAATGTATTTAACCAACGCAAAGTGATCGATCGAGAAGGTCAAACGTTTCTGGCTACTGCCTCTATGTTTAGACTGATCGATGCATAACGTTATTGCTTGCGTCATTTATTTCGAAGTGGCTGACAAATTAATATCTTATATAGATTAATTTACGAATACCCGCATTTTCTCATAGCTCATAGCTTTCATTAAGATGGTACTGCAGTGGTATAAGGCATACCGTATGAGCAATCAGGCATGCGTCAATTATAACAAACAAAGTGGTTACAAGTTGAAGCCCTCGTCAAAATCTGTTTGATAAATCAAACAACGCTCAGAAGAGAAGAGTAGTATTTTCTCGTACAAAAGGAGAGTTTTTATCAGATTCTTGTAATTTCATGCGAAGAGCGTTGAGGTTGAAAAATAACACTTGATCACTGATGACCAATCACACAGTGCAGGATTTCCAACCTTAATGATATTATACTGCTTTGGTTTTCAGCCCACTGAACGGTTTTACATTGAATCGCTATGGTCATCGGGTTACCGTATCCTCTGTAGTGACTAGGTTCCCTTTCTGAGGTCTTTTACGGACACTAAGATGTATTTACATCTATAAACAGAATTCGCCTACTGACAAACAAAACAGTAGTGCAAATATATAACTGCATATTTATGAACCACTGAATACGTACAGAAAGGACAGATCGACAAAAGACAAAGTTTTATTATAGGAATAAGTTACAAACTCGTGCTTCTCTTGTACCCATAGGATATTTACACAGATGAATCACTACACACCTAAAAAGAATTCACATAGAGTTCCGAGTAACAGATAATAGAGAATGTAGGCTACAGTGAATTTGCGTTTACTTTTAGTGGTGTAGGAATATGAGGTGTGCCATGGTTTCATCGAGTCTTTGCATGAAAGATTCTATATTGGGTACAAAAACGACATGAGATGGAAGGGCGTTCCAAGAACTGCATACTCTGACTGCAAAAGACTGGCACCGGCATTCCAGTCGACACTTTGGAATCAGTAGCTTGAAACAGTGTCCTTTAGGTGTACATTGTTCGATAACATGAGCAGCGATCGACACGGGTGGTTTGGGTTCTGCAGTATTTGATATGTCAAAATCAAGTCTCTCCAAGTTCGGCGGTACTGGGCAGAATATAGTCCCAATAATCGTAATCTCCCCTCATATGTCAAGTAATGCAATCCCTTGACCATCTTAGGGACCATCCTTTGTGGACGCTCAAGCATCTCGCGATCACGTTGAAGCCACGGACTCCAAGCTTGGATGGCGTACTCTGTGTGGGGTCAAATGTACACTGATAGCAAACATGAGAATAGTAATGATTCAAACCGGCCACAGACTTACCGAAGTGGGCCGACATTCTTCACAGCAGCACAATTAATGGAGCAGCTTAAATCCTCTTGAACAACAATACTTAAGTCCTTTTCACTAGAAGCGTGTGGTAGCTGCTGATCCCTGAGAAAATACAAGAATTTCCCCTTGTGGTATAGGGATAGAACTTTGCATTTAGAAACAATAAATTCAATTTCGTTCTCCTTAGACCACTGATAAGCTGCGTTGAGTGATTCCTAAAGTGTTAAAGAGCACTCGGGTTCTGTTACTGTGATCCAGATTTTGGCGTCGTCTGCATACAGTATTTTTTAGGCCTAACACTTTTGGTAGATCATTTATGAATGTGAGGAACATATGGGGACCGAGTACGGACCCTTGTGGAATACCGCGGGTGGCTTTGATAGATCCGGATGTGGAATCAGAAACACGAACTGATATGGTCCGTTGTTCGAGGAATGCTTTAATCCAATCAAAAGCGAAATCTCGAACGCCATAATTGTGGAGCTCCTGCATCAAAATTTTGCGATTCACTCGATCAAATGCTTTCGAGAAGTCGAGATAAATAACATTCACCGCATCCCCTTCGTCAACTGTACTGGTCCATTCATCTCAAACGAGAAGCAAGTTCGTGGTGCAGGATCGCTTTTGCCTAAACCCGTGTTGAGCTGTCGAAAGAATGTTGTATCATTCGAGGTGTTCCATCAGAGAATCTGCCACAGTTCACTCCATGACTTTCGATAACACCGGAAGCAGGGCTACAGGTCGGTAGTTAGCGAGGTCACTACGACAACCAACCGAAATGACTCCTTGTTTCCACGATTCTGAGAGCGTTGCTTGGTCGAACATCCGTTAAAATAGAATGGCTAGCAGCTCGGATATGTGATTCGCCAAAAAGATCAGAGATTTCGAGTGTATGTTGTCCCCACCTAGGGTTGCATTTTTTCGCAAAGCCATTATTTTAGCTTTGACGTTTTCAGCAGTAAATGATACGTATGTCAGTGAAGGATATGTAAGATGATACAATCGGGGAGGTAAGTGTAAACTTCCAACCTGCTGTGTTGCGAAAACATTGGAATGATGAATTCTCAGCATTTCAGCTGCTTCCGTTGGAGTGGCTGCAACTCTTCCAGGGCTACTTAGTACCGGTATACCAAACTTTTCTTTCCGAATGGAGTTGATGTCTTTGTACAACAGCTTAGGGTTAGAAATGAATCTCTGTGCTAGCGCCTCTTGTTATTTCAGTTTATCCTCACGAATCAGCCTGGTGCAGTGGTTCCTCAGTAGCTGATAAGTATGACAATATTCGGGAGACGATTATAATCTCGCCAGGATAAGTCCCTCGTCGATAATCGTTTCCTCGTGCGGCTTCGAATAAGTGAATTTCGGATGCCGGATTTGGTGGTTACCCTAATCTTAGTCACGGATGTCATTAGATTTGTGAGATTGTCAATAAATTTCTTCCAGGCGATCAACGGATTTGATTCTTCGTCATAGGAAAGCCACTGAGTAGAGAGCGCCAAGTTATTCAACAGTATGTAATCTATGGATCTCCGCGTGTTACCTGGGTAACTTCCTTGAATCGAAGCGTAACAAAAATATTTGAATGTAAGTACTGCGTCATCGTTGCGTCCTAGGGGGGAAGTCGCATTGACCATCAGCTCCTCCTTGGTCAACACTAAATCCAGTATGGACGGCGACTGTAGGCTACCAAACCTGGTGGCCAACTTCACATGGTTGTATAGTGGATGCGAGTCAATCAGCAGTTTGAATTGATGTTCGAAAAATGGACGGACGGTGGCCGATTTGTTGAGATTGGGGCAGTTGAAATCACTCATAAGGAAAATATGTGTTAATTTTTGTGTAAGAATGTGTCATAGTTAGTAAAAGCGTTTCATTGACCGTCTCCAGGGATGATGGGGGACGATAGACTACACCCATCAAACAATTATCATGTTTGGACAACTTCAACCTACACCACAGAGTGTCCGGTGTCGAAACAGGAGGGTAGATTTGCTCGCAATCAAGATTGTTTCGATAGTAGAGTAAAACACCACCACGGGTAGGACGATCGCTTCTGAGTAGAGACATCTCTGATAAAGACAAATCGGAGTTCGCAATATCAGCTGTGGTCCAAGTCTCTGTAACGCAATACTGTCCCACTGACTAGATATAAGACGTAAATTCAACTCTGGAAATTTGCCAAGGAGTCCTTGAGCACTGGAGTGGAAACAGTTTAGATACTGTCGGTGTAGAAATTCGCTTGGGTAGGAAGTGGTATCTCGGCCGACCCCTTCGCGGTCGGCTACCATTAGCTTTTTGGCAGAAGAGCTCTGGTACTTTGGATCACGGGTTGCGTGACGGAGTTCGGTACCTGCATGGAGTGATCTGTTGCATCAGAAGGGTTCTCCAGTTTTGGGCGTGATTTGAGCCCCGGATTGAGTAGGGTTCTCACACGTAGTTCCGGACGCCCTCTGTTCTTTCTTTCCCGCCATAACTGTAAGACTGTGTTCGCATTTCTACAGGGTAACCTTCATTATCCTCGGACCGTTACGACGGTAATGTGGTGAACAGGGCGGTGGTGGCCAAGTGGTGAGGTCACCAACTAGTGACCTGGGTGTCTCGGGTTCAAACCGCTCCACCGCCACCCGTTTTCTCTATATCTTTATTTTCCCCATGCAGCCTTTGTATAGCCGCAGCCCCCTTTCTGAAAGTTGACTGTACATTTGTATATTCAACAAATAGAAAAAGGAAATAAAAAGACATTTAGACATTTAAACAGAGAAATCGACTGACTGGGGTAGTCAAAAGGTCGCTATACTCAAGTAGGTTTTGAATGAATCGCCATTCTCTTCGGTCGTTCTGATAACCTTTTGGTTCATCCGGATCGTCCAACTGCCGGACACCATGGATGAGGACGACCCTCTTATTTTCCTGCGCTCGTGCTCTCATTGGAGCGGACTAATGCTGCATTCTTTCCGTCCATGGCCTATCAGGGAAGATTCTTATTGGGTAGGAATCTTTCTGAGAAGGTGACTAGAAAGAAGGACGTCCTCTAAATCCTTATCATCTTTCAGGGTTATACGGAGCAGTCTGGGAGCTCAGAGTTGCTATCTTTTCTTCTAATTCTGATCATTTTAAGTTAGCTTTATCTTCCGCAGCTAATAGTAGCCTCTTGAACCTATTTTCAATGCCCATCATGTATTTTATAACAGGAGTTTTCGTGCAATCACTGCAAAACCAAAAATAGTGCTGTTGTGCCAGTATCTGTTTCCTCTTCTTAATCGATAGATTGGTGCATGCGGCGTGAAAGTTCTTCTGGCGGTATGCGCATGACCTTCCTGTTTTGACCTCTTTTCCGCAGCCTTTGAGCCGCACACACTCGAACCTTGTGCGACTAATAGTGTTGACAAATTTCAGCGACCCATTTTTGGTGCACTGTGA